GTTCTAGAAGTCGCTAGGCGCCCGACCAGCGCCTAGCACCTAGTCGGGGCCTAGGCGGGGTATAGACAGGGCCTAGAAATTATAATAAATATATTATTTTTATTTATTTTTACAATTTCACTAATGAAATTATAACTTATAATTAATAAATCCATGCACCTAAGTCCCAATAATATTATTAATATTATATTATAAACAAACTCCAAGTCAAAATAAGTACATAACCACAATATAAATTCGTCTCATTGTGATTTTATCAAACACATTATCTACATGTTATGTTTTAAACATTACACAAAATAAGAAATAAAAAAAATATATGCATTTACATTTAGTAAAAACAAAAAAACAAAAAAAAAAACTGTAAAAACCGCCTAGAACCCGCATCAGCCGCCTAGTCCTGCCGAAATCGCGTAGCCGCCGTGACCCCCGAGGCCGCCTAGCTCCGCCTAGGCCCGACTAGCCCGCCTGGCCGATTTTTATAACCGATTTTAGCAAATCGTAGGCGGCGCAACGCCGTCTAGCGCTTAGACGGCCGCCTAGGCCGACTTTTCGAACAGTGCCTATGACTCTTACCGAAAAAGGTCTGCTTGTTCTCTAGATGACTCCCATAGTCCTCTTCAGACCACCCAAGTTGAACTTTTTCTTCCCTATGATTTTTCCAATTAGGCTGCATTCCTGTAGCTCCGGTTCAATATCCTTTTCTGATAGCGTAATCCTAATTTTTTCTTTTCTGAAAGCTCAAATCTGCTGAGCTTATCAATATTGTCATGTTCCATGCCTCTGAGAATACTCGAATCTCACTAGAAGCCACATGATGATGGAAAAACAACCCTGCAAAACAACACAAATGAAGGACGAGACCTAAATCCAAAACTTAACAAAGAGAAAACCCTAGCCCAAAACCCACGAAAAACGGGATACAAAAGCACGACAAGGAAGGAGAATGATACTAAATAAACAACAGAGAGGAAAACAAGGAACGAGAGGAAAGACGAATTCAAAGTTCAGAAATGGTAAAACCCTAAGAAGAGAATGATTTTCCACGAAACAAGAAACTAACCTGGCGAGTGAGGCAGCATCCTCCTCTGTTGGACTGCACCGGATCACGACTCCCCCCTCGGGCTTGGGAGATTGGCTACAGCATGATCTTGCGAGGATCTCTTACCCCCGCCGTGTTCTCGCTTAATTATTTTCTAAGGCATTAGCCTCTTTCCATTGTATCGAAAAAAAAAAAAAATGATTGTAAACTCCGACAGAACGGTTGTATAACGAACCGTAACATCTCCTATCTCATAATAGGGTATTTATCTAATGATATTAGTTGTTTACTCGGCTTAGTATGAATATTTCAGGCCCACGGATATAATTAATTTAATTATTTTTTATCATGATTATTTTGTCCATCAACATTTTGAGTTGATATTTTTATCCTTGCTCGTGGGACACTAACTTCCACTCATTTCTTCCTAAAATATAAACTCAACCTATACGTATTTACCAATCCTGCGATCATATACAAGATAAAGATTAATATTTTTTTCATCATTTTCCTCTTACCTAAATTAATTACAAAAAATAAAATAAAACATGATAAGAGAATTATCATTAATCAACTCATATAGGTATGGTATTTAAAATTTAATATTTATGCTTAACTAAGATAGTTCATCCATGGGCCCGTTCCCTTCCTCATGTGGGAATCGGTATATATTAGTTGCAGTTGAGTATGTCTCTCGTTGGGTGGAGGCAATTCCCTCGATCACCAATGATGCCGCTGTTGTTCTCAAGTTTCTCAAGAAGCATATTTTCACACGGTTTGGAACTCCGAGAGCTTTAATCAGTGATGGGGGTTCTCACTTTGTGAACAAAATGATGGAGAAACTTCTTTCGAAGTATGGCGTCAAGCATAAAGTGGCCTTAGCCTATCACCCGCAAGCAAATGGGCAAGCAGAGGTGGCGAACCGAGAAATCAAGCACATCGCATCAATGGTGAGGGCTTGGTGGTTAAACACCCGCTCATTTCGCCACAGCCATAAACGCCACACAGCAAAGCAAAATGTACTGCTCCAACTGGAGAGATCGCCCAGCCGCACGGTGGCAATATTCCGTTGGACCCAAGACTTTAATGGCAGGGAAAAGAATTCGGTAACCCGGTCCCTCGGTAACAATCGCATCCAAAGGTTTCGCGCAACTGACAGTCCCGGAGAACGTGCAGTAAAGACTCGCACTCCCCACATACATCACAGTCTGCTGTAGCAGCTAGGTGGCGCCGGAGCCGCTCTTCATTAGTTAACAAGCGGCCCCGAACGACGAGCCAAAGAAATGTCCGGACCCGCTGCATCGTCGGAGCACGCCACACTAATTTCCAGGTTAGCTTATCGGGACTCGAAGCCGGAGGGAGCAGAGCATTATAAGCTGAGCGAATGGAAAAGTTACCGTCATGGGAGCAACTCCACACTATGCGATCTTCGCCAGCGTCGGCTCTTGGCGGGAGGAGTCCGGCGATTCTCAAAATCACCGACGACGGAAGGAGGCCATGGAACTCATCCCATTTCCATCTACCAGTTTCATCCACAAATGCAGCCACCGGCGCAGAGATATCAACGACTAGAGAAGCAGGTTGGGTTACGAAATTAATCAATGGCCCGTCGGTCCCCATCCAAGGGTCAACCCAGAACCGAGCCGTCTCTCCATTCCCCAAAATCCATCGCACTCCCTTGACCAGCTCGGGCCATACTTTCCGAAGGGCATGAAACAGACCGGAGCCTGACCTACACTTCAAAGTCCCGCTAATAGGCGCAGGCGTGAGGCCATATTTAGCCACAAACGTGCGTACCCACAGAGAGTCCCTATTCGTTAGGATGTCCCACCCAAGTTGCATAAAAAAGGCAGTGTTCAT